AGGGAGAAGCAGACTCCCCACCGAGCAGGGAGCCTGATGTGGGACTCGATCCTGGGACTCCAGGACCATGACCTGAGCCGAAGGCAGTCGCCTAACCAACTGAGCCACCCAGGCGCCCATGACTAAATAAAATCTTAAAAAAAAAAAAAAGATTTACAGAGAAGTAAGTAAATTCACATCTCTAACCACTGTGATCACTGGAAACCATCATAAACTGGCCTCATTGCCATTAGCAGTGATCATTCCCTCCCAGCATTGCCTCCTTTAAAATGCTCTGTAGTGCTGAAGCTGAACTTCTCATTACTTTCTTGTCCTAAAAAACAAATTATTAGAGATAGTAAGATGCATGTCTTCTACAGAGAAGAGATGTTTTTCTCATAAGCCTTTAATCTAACAAACATAGCTGTAGTCTGTGGCATACTTATAGAATGTCATAGCAGCTTGTTTTTGTTTAACACTCTATATTCCGCAAAATACCTGTCCACCCTCCAGTTCATTTGGGCATAGACAAAGGAAGGTCTTGTGATTTCAGTTGTACTGATGAGTAAACCGAGGTTCAGAGAGGTTAAGTGACTTGAACAGGGTGGTCATGCAATGAGTTACTGACAGATCTCAATTCCAAACCTGATTCTTTCCACTGCACTATTCCTGGGTCACAATTGATCTCATGGGGCTGAGAAGGATCTGACTGATCTCAGGATCTTAATACACCCTGGAGGTGGCCTTGGAATTCCTACCTCCTAAGCATGAAACAGACTGAAACTCACTTTTAGGAGGTCCTACTCAGGGATCAAAGTTTGGGGCAGATTGGGAATTTCAGGAATTCAGGGGAAGGTTAGGGTAGCTGGCGAGTCAAAGGTACAGTGAGAAGGTAATTAGGACTGAGAGAGACTTAAGAGTGTCTGTGTCTGCTCTATGTAGCCGCCAACTGCTTTTCCAAAACGCTCAGGAGGGCCAAGCCTGTTTAAGGTAGGCAGCAGCAGGAGTGCTACTCAGGTACTCAACCTAGAGTACTACTCAACCTAGAATTAGGCCCGACTTCTCTGAGGGGATTTCTAAGAATATCTGGAATAGCCAAGCGTGGCCTGGCTGGGTCCCTATTCTCAGGTTTGAACATGTAACTTGAGGAAGCACAGTAACTCCAAAGCTCATGCTTTTACACTGGCTCTCTGGAGTCTCTTCCCAATCTTGGATTTCTGTGACATCACGAGGCATGGTAGCCAAGGCCCAGACTCTGCCGCCACACTGCCTAGGTTCAGAGCCCAGCTCTGCTTTGGCTTTGTTGTCTGGCACATGGTGCTATATTATTATCTCTTTTTTTTCCTTTTCTCCTGTTTCTAACCAGACCTCTTTTGGTTCTTCCTTCCCTCCCCCTCACTCAATAACTACTGGCAGCCCTCAGACCTAGGACCTGGGCCTCTCATCATATCCATGTATTTTCGGAATTTACTACTCTTTAAACCCCACTGTATATGAATGACTTCCAAATTTTTTATCTAGTCTTGCTGTCCTGTACCAAACCATCAATAGCCCAGGCCTTGAAATGGACATTTATTTTTATTTTTTAAAGATTTTATTTATTTGAAAGAGAGACAGAGCATGAGCTGCAGGGGGTGGGGAGGGGAAGGGCAGAGGGAGAAGCCAATTCCCCACTGGCACAGAGAGCCCAACATGGGGGCTTGAACCCAGGACCCTGGGATCATGACCTGAGCTGAAGTCAGATGCTTAACCAACTGAGCCACCCAGGTGTCCCAAAATGGACATTTTATCGCAAAGATATGTTTGAGAAGACTCTCAAACTTCCATGCCAAAGGCTAAGCTTATCTCTCTCTCTCAATTTTCTAATTTCTCCCCATTTCAGTTTCCTGGGCAGTCTTCTGCCCAATCATAGAGCTCCCTTTTCTTCTCAATACTTGAATTCAGGTACATTTCTCTTTTGTTCATTCATATATTAACTCAACAAGTACTTCTCAGCAGCCTGCCATGTGTCAGCCATTGTGCTAGGCCTCAATGTACAAAGATAAGTTAGGCTTGAGGAGATCAGTCTTATGGGGGGGGTGCAGAGCCATATAAATAATGACAATATAATGAGGTAAATACTGTAATAGAGGCTTCCACGCAAAGTCCCCACTAGAATGTAGTAACAAATGTAAAGTGCCACAAGAGTTGGGGGGAAGATTTCTGACAAAATGTAACATCTGAGCCATCTTTTAGGACAAACGGTTCAACCAGGTTGCAAGGTGGTAGAGCTGGGGGAGAAAGAAGGGAAACAGAGGGAGTTTGTGCTACGTCTCAGAGATATGAAAGGGCATGGCACATCTGACAGGGTGGTAGGTGAGTTCAGTGTGACTGGTGTGTGGAGGAAAAGCATGAAGACCAGCGCTGTTCAGTATACCTTTCTGCAGTGATGGAAATGGTCTAAATCTGTGCTAATAAGGTAGCCACTAGTCACATATGGCTATTGAACACCTGCAATGTGGCTAGAATGACTGAGAAGCTGAACTTTAAATTTTATTTCATTTTACTTAATTTAAATTTAAATACCATGTGGCTACTATTGAACAACATTGGTTTAGGCACTGGATAAAGGACAGGACTCTAGGCACTAGGAAACCACTAAAGGTTTTTAAGCATAATACTAGCATAACTAGATATTTGAGGAAAGGAACACTGGCAGTAGGGATTAGAGGGTAGATGACTTAACACAGAAATGCCTGGTAGGCACCAGCCACATGGATAGAATAAATGGGACTTACATATAATTGGTAGAATTTACCGGACTTTGTGACTTTGTCAATGTGGGGAGTATAAGTGAGAAGACTCAACTGAAGTTTGCAGCTTGAGCAATGGGTGGATGGCAACAACAGATAGGATTAGGTTTGGAATGAGGGTAGAGTTTGCTTTGGGATATTGTTGACTCTGAGGTGACTAAGAACTATCTAGGACGATATGACTACAAAACAGGAAAAATATTAATCTACAACTGTAGAGGTGGGGCCACAAATATATTTGGGAGTTATTAGCATATAGGTGGTCACTAAAGGCATGGGAGTGGAGGAACTCACCAGAGGAAAAATATGTAGAAGAGGACTGGATGGACCCTAAGGGACCCTAAGCAATCAAAGTGTGGTATTTTTTTTTTTTTTTTAAAGATTTTATTTATTTGAAAGAGAGAATTAGAGAGAGAGAGAGAGCACATGAGAGGGGGGAGGGTCAGAGGGAGAAGCAGACTCCCTGCCAAGCAGGGAGCCCGATGCGGGACTCGATCCTGGGAATCCAGGATCATGACCTGAGCCAAAGGCAGTCGCTTAACCAACTGAGCCACCCAGGCACCCAGAGTGTGGTCTATTTTGGTTTGCCAGGAGTCACCTGGGGTTTTTTAACAAAAAACCGATTCCTCATTGTGAATGTATTTAATGCCATGGAACTGTACACTTAAAAACAGTTAAAATGGTAAATTTTTATGTTATATACATTTTACCACAATAAAAAAATGCAGAAAAACTCAAATCTAATCAAACCAAACTGATTCCTAGACCCCATTCCTAACCTGAATCACTGTTTCTGGAGATGAATCCAGGACTCTCCAGGTAACTTAAGTTCAATTAAAATTTGAACTAACTGCTTTAAGAGTAGAGAAAAACTAAGAGATAGCTATGAAGAAAATAAAGGGAGAAGGGCATGGTGAAGAAACCAAGGAAGAGCAGTTCAAAGAAAGGGTCAGTAGTGCTGAATATGAATAGTGCCATGACCCAGGAGGAAGACTGAACAGAAGCCTCAGGATTTGGCATTCAGGGGGGTGACTGACGAATGGGAAATGAGAGAGCAGATGCCGTGGGGTCTATTCTTTCAAGGGCTTTGCTCCTGTTTCGTGGTAAAGATATGGAGGGAGAGACTGAATAAACTTGAAGGGAGACTGGACAGATGAAAAGTTGGTGGTTTTCAAGATAAGAAAGAATTGAGCATGTTGGCAGGTGGACAGGAAGGAGTCAATGAGGCCAAGGATACACCAAGGGGATCCTCAATAAAGCACAGTTTGGGAGAGGTAGTAGAGGTTGGGATCAGGAATTCGGGCAGAGGTTATTTGGGTAAAAGCTCACTGGGTAAGTTCAGAAGTGAAAAGGAGGGAAGATGAAGGGATTTAAGACTGAGGGCAAGAAAAGACTTCCTGACACAGCAAACAAGAATGGCGCTGGTTGGTGGTTAGGTCATCTGCTTAGATTAATGGAGCAGGGATACAGAGGCAAGAACCTGCAGAAGGGTAAAAGTCTAGAAGAGTCACTAAGATGAAAGTGATCAGGAGCAGGAATATAAAAAGACTGAAAAGTAGTACTGGAGTCTGAGATTGGAAATAGCACCAACCACATAATTATCCTGCACAAAATAGAAAAATTGGTTTTCCTAAATGAAGGTTTTGGTTCCATTCTCCTATCGTTTAGGGACTGCACCAGTTTTTGCTCTCTCATGCATAAAGCTGAAATTCTCTAGCGGGAACTTTTACTAACTTCTCCATCAAAAGGTCGAATGTCTAACTGGTGGTTCAGATTCTCTTATTCCCTACTCCTCCTATAACTTCAGAAAATAATACGATCTTAAGGATTTTGAAGCTCATCAATCTAGTCTCGCTTCTTAGCTAGGTATATTTTGTTTTCTCATCTTCTCTCCACCAAACAAATCTTTCTCCATCTTCCACTTTCCCTTGGACTCAACTCATAGGTATCAACACCTGACAAACATCAGTGACACCTATCCCATAGCATTGATGCTAAAGTTATCCAATTATAGACTGCATTTTATGCCTGCTTCCCTGCACATATTCCCACCCCCATACCGGTATGCTTTGGCAGAGGATGCTAACAAAAAAAGTCCTGAATTAACTTACTCTCTGGCATGTTTTCCATTCGGAGCTTGGGTGAGGTTCTTTTTCTTGAGCTGAAACCTCCCTGGATAGAGTGGTTAAAAGCAGAAGTTTCCTACCTACGCCAGAATCACAGGGCATTCTAAATCATATTCAAGTCACTTTTATTATATATAATTATACAGTCCCACTTCATTAATTTCATTTGTACCAGCTGGATATTGGGTTCATAATTTAAATCTTTTAAACATTTTATAAATGCTAGTCAGTGCATTTTGGCCAGTATCTGTTACCTGTTGTGCTGAACCTGGGCATGTTGGAGACTTGACCTGCTCTGGAAAGATAAGATGTTTTTCTTACTAACCCTCTCCTTTAGCCAGGCCAGTGACTCTTCATTCCAGATTGTATGGTGAGGTTTTGCCTGAAAGGCAGGATGAGTAAGTCCAGAAAAAGCCTGAAGAAGCCAGATTAGATTCAAGTTGCCCATGAAACTGATACATTCTAAGGCTAGCCTGGTATAAGTCTCTTAACCACTGGAAGCAGCCCCTTCCATATCCTAGAACCAGGATCACTTTCTCTAGGCCATTTCAATCTGGATAACCCAGCTCATTGCTCCACAGATATATTCTCTTCCAAGATCAACTCAAACAGTAGGGAATAGATACTGATTCTTTCAATTGTATGTCTTGGACAAAAGCTTCTGCCACGTTTTGAGGCTGCCTTACAATCATGAATTAAGGCAAGTTAACTTAATTCTTAGTATTTGGTATCTCTTTCCTGGTCTTCCTGCCCTCCTGTCTCACTGTCTCCAGAATCTTAATCTGTTCCTTTCTTTCCCTTCCTCTGTCAGTAATTCAGGAATCGGATGAGTCTCTGTGGTTTGTTTTGCCCTGAAGAGCAGAAGGCTTCGGTCCCAGCTGGTGTTGCCAAAGCAGCATACTAATTCCATGCCGTGGTCCTGGGTCAAGATCTGCACAATCTGATTGGCCATATCACCTCGGATGGCAAGGGAACGGAAGTGGTCAAAATCATGAAGACCCAGCTTCCGGAGACGCCTTGCAGCTGCCCGGTAACACTTCCACGGCTGTGGCTCCACAAGGAGGTAGTGGCAAAGGGAGGAAAGGTGACCCAGGAACTCCCATAGGCCATGGTCCCCATGGTTCAGATGAATCCACATGGTTATTGACATGCAAAAGCCAATGTCAAAAACTGAACGTCCAAACTGGCTTAAGAAAGAGCTCAAGAGAACTTTCCGGGTCCTTTGATTCATAAAGTCCAGGGTGATAAAGGTCAGGGCATCAGGAAAAGGGCATTCTTTTTCAGCTCGCTCCACCAGGACTGGATCTATGTCGCAGCAGAGTAGATGGAGTTCTCTTGAGGCATCTGAGCAGGTCTCCCCATCACGTAGGGAAAGGAAGTGTTTGTATAGAGCCACACTCAGATCCTAGAGAAATCCAAAAGAGCTTTGTCATTGCAGCTCTCAACCAGTGAATGGAAGAAAAACCTATCTCTTATCATCCCATTGGACTGTCACTTACTCTTGGCTTTATAGGATGTGAAGCTCCTAGTCTAAGGAGGTTGCCCAAAAAGTTTTCCACAGAGCAGGTTCTCAGTGCCCTCCAGGGGTCTCAGGCTATAATGTGTCCTCTCTATACTTTCCTGACATTGATGGTACATTGGGTTGTATGGTTGAAAGTTACAGCTAAATGAATGCAGCAAAGGAGCCGAGAGCAGTCTTTCCCAGCTTAAGTAGTATGCTGGTAAACTCACTTTTTTTTCTTTTCTTTTTTTAGGTATCTCAGACCCTAGTGAGGAGGAAAGAGTTCCAAGGGCATAACCAGTATTCCTTATCAGGAAGGTGAGGAGCAGAGCAAGCACCATCTTATAAAACTCTGCTTTTCAGACTTGTAGTTGGGTAAGTCTGGATTCCAGAGATTCCTCATTTAGCCTTCACTCTACAACCTCAATTTTACTACCTGGCTTCACCACCCCCTTCTGAGATTTATTCTGCTTCTACATCCATTACTCCCAAAAGTCACTGCTGATCTTCCTTCTAGCCAAGTCTAATGATTGTGATTTTCACCATCTCAGCACCTTTTTGACTCTTAAACAAGTCACCATCTCCTTTCTCTAGCGTTGACTTCTATAACCATTATAACCAATTCAAATTTGTGTTGTTCTAGTCCATTTTTTCCAGGCATTTTTAGGTATCACCTCATTTTGCTCTGTGCAACAATCCTGTAAGGAAAATACTTAGGCCTTTTTGCAAGTGAAGAAAGTGTGGCAGGAAATCACCTAATGTCCAATAATAGTAGCATGGATACTTAAATGTGGTATATTCATTAAGATGGGATACTAAATAGCAGTTACAAATGAAGGAATTCAGCTCAGTGCATCAATATGGATGACAATGTTGAGTATATAATGCTGAGTAAAAAAGCAAGACACAAAACAAAATACATGGTAAGCTTCCATTTATATGAAGTTCAAAAATGGGTAAGATTAAACTACATTGTTTAGAGATACAAAAATAGTGAGCTATAAAGAAAAGCAAGTAAATAATAAAAGTCAGGCTAGTTGTTACCTTTGGGTGGAGGGGCGGTTTATGAACAGGGGAAGTGATATAAGGGATTCATGGGGTACTCACAATGTTTCATTCTTGATCTGGACTATTGTGATAAAGGCATCTACATTATAATAATTCATAAAGTGTAAATTTATGTTTTAGGCACTTTTCTATATGTGTGGCATAGTTCACAAAAAAATCTGTATTTTAAAAACTATGATTCAGAGGCTAGTGACCTGTCCAATGTCACATAGTACATGGAATGATTTAGGCTACATTAGATTCTTTCCTCTATACCAGGCTTCTCACATTTTAATATCCATATTAATAATTAATGATATGCATAACACCTATGGATCTTATTAAAATAAAGCTGCTGATTTAATAGATTGTGTGTTGGGGGGCACTGAGATTCTGTGTTTCTAGTTTGTTTATTTGTTTTTTAAGTAGGCTACATACTCAGCATGCAGCCAACTCGGGGCTTGAACTCACAACCCTGAGATCAAGACCTGAGCTGAGATCAAGAATAGGACCCTTAATTGTCAGAGTGACCCAGGCGCCCCCTGAGATTCTGGATTTCTAATAAGCCACCCAAGTCATACTGATGTTGTAGATCAAGGACCACATTTTGAGTAGGAAGGTCCTATACTATGCTGCTTAATTTTCTCCCCATTTCCATACTTATTTCTATTCTGGCTCCCTCTTCCAATCTGATTTTGGGTATGCCAGTTTGACTAGTCATTTTGCTACATCAGTCACTCCTCCTCATCTCTTCACCCTCTCCATCCTCAATTCCCCAATCTCAGAATACCCTAGAAGCTTAAAAAAGAAAATATAGGGGTGCCTGGGTGACTCAGTCAGTTACGCGTCTGCCTTTGGCTCAGGTCATGATCCCAGGGTCCTGGGATGGAGCCCCACATTGAGCTCCCTGCTCAGCCGGGAACCTGCTTCTTCCTCTCCCTCTGCCTGTCACTCCCCCAACTTGTGCTCTGTCAAATAAATAAATAAAATCTTAAAAAAAAAAAAAAAAAGAAAGAAAATAGAGACTCAAGGGTTCAATCACCCAAGATCCTGAATCAGTAGGTCTAGAGTGGGGCCTGGGCATTTTAGAAATGTAAACAAAGCACCCTATAAATTATGGTACATCCATACAATTTTGAAGCTGCTAAAAAAGAATGTAGTGACATGAGTGACCTCCAAATTATCAAGTGAAAAGCAAGGTGAAAAATAGTGTGCTACTATGTATAAAGCTAAAAGAGGTAGGATATTTATACATACATAAATGCTTGTGTACACATAGGCTGCATACCCAAGAAATTATAAACAGCGGTTGCCATTGTGTAGGGGGAAAGGAGAATTTAGGGTCAGGAGTAGAGACTTACTTTTTATTACATGCCTATAATTTGCAATCATAGGGTGAGAATGTCTGCTTCTCTAGGATATGCTAGTAGTTACAATAGGTGTCAGAGAGACATTTCGATATTCTGGATGTAATTTCACTATAATCACTCTACGCTTAACAATAGCGGTAAGAAGACGGGGCAATGCCTTCCTCCACCAGGAAGCTGTATTCTCCCTCTCGATCCTCTCCACTGTACTCAGTCAACTCATTGCTTTTTAAATAAATATCCAGGGCGCCTGGGTGGCTCAGTTGGTTAAGCGAATGCCTTCGGCTCAGGTCATGATCCTGGAGTTCCAGCATCAAGTCCCGCATCGGGCTCCCTGCTCAGCAGGGAGTCGGCTTCTCCGTCTAAGCCTCCCTCCTCTCATGTGCTCTTTCTCTCAAATAAATAAATAAAATCTTTAAAAAAAATAAGTAAATAAATAAATATCCACTTGGCTCCAGGGTCCATCCTACACTATATGGCACACGAATCTTTTTTTTTTTTTTTTGGCACACGAATCTTAATTCCAAACATGAATCAGTCACCCCGGCTCATCTCTCCCAGTAAACCAATCCCAACCCTACGCTCCCAAAGGTGGGTCTCCGGAAGCCCCGTCTCTGAAGCCAGGTCGCCAGCTACGCTGGACAGGAGGCAAGCGCCGGAAGCCCAAATACGGTGACCCTTCCCACATGAGGTTTGGCCGGGAGGTGGCGAACGCACGGGAGGGGACAAAGGAATTTGGAACGGAGTTAAAAATTATTCCTCCCCAAGATTCCTAAGAGAAATGGTGGTGGGACCCTAGAGGTCCGGTAGCAGCAGCACGGGGTTCACCCACGCGACGCCTTTAAATTCTTTTTGGAAAAGTCGTGATGGGTGTGACGCCATGCCCAAACCAAAGCCCCAGCGAAAGCGGAGGAAGCCAACTGCCCGGCTCCCCGACCTCCGCCCCCGCCCCCGTCACTCACCCCAGAGTTACACCCCACGTCGAGCCCCAGGATCGGCCTCGTTTCGGAACTCTGAGGAAAGAGCCGGCGAAGCAGCTCCGGGGGCAGGAGACGGAGCCGTTGTTCTGGAGGATGGAAGCGGGAATAATGAGGGAAATTTCCAAATGGGGCTGCCCCGGGTTCCAGAATTCGCGGTTCCTCTTCCGCCGCGGCCTCTTCAACGCCCCCGGCGGCCTGTTTCGTGGACGCCGCCATTAGTCAGCCTGGACTCAGGGTCCCGGCGGAACCGGAAGTCGGAAGTCGGAAGCCCGCTTGCGAGCGGCACGGGCACCACCGCGCGTGCGTTGAATGGCAGAGGCGGGTGGGTCTGAAGGCTGACGTCCACCGGGAGAGCGCTGCCAGCCGGGCTTGCGTTGCTTTGTTGAGCCCTCATGGCAGCCTAGGGGTGGTTAGTAATATTATCCCATTTTACAGGTGAGGAAACGAAGGCAGGGCAGAGAGGTTAAGTGACTTGACCAAGCTGACATAGTTTCAACTTGAGGTACCCAGAACAAGGAGTTTGTTGGGATGTTGGAAATCATTTTTGGTCCAGCTACATTCCTTTACAAGTGCATTAAGTGAGATCCAGAGGGTAGAAATTACTTACCCAGAGTCACGCAAAGAATCTGTGATACAGGAACTTGCACCCGATTCATCCCATGGTTCCAGGAAAAGGTAGCCAGGAGCTACGGGTCGCTTGAAGTGTCAGAAGACCAAGATGGCCCTGACTGCCAAGTGAGTCAGGTGGATAGGGGCAACTGTAAGTTGTGAGTTCCTTGAGAGGCAAGGACCATGCCTTAAGAGCCAGCACTTGAGAGTGCTTATCAGGAGCCAAACACCTGTCTAGGACCTCTACATATATTCTTTCAATCGTCATATCACTCCTGTGAAGAAAAGACCATAGTTATCCCTTTTTTATATATGAGGACAGTGGGTTACAACTAATTTGTAACCTGCTCAAGGTCATGCAGTTAGAAATGATGGTACCAGGATTTCAACCCAGGCAGTCTGGTTCCAGAGGATGTGCTTGCAACCATTATGTTATTCTCAGCCTTGAATCCCCTATACCTACCATAATGCCTGGCGCAAAGATGCTCAATAAATATTTGTTGAATGAAAACTCAGTATTGATAAATGGTGCTGGGAAAACTGGATACTCATAAGCAAAATAATGAAAGTGGACCCTTATCTAACACAAAAATCAGCTCAAAATGGATTAAGAACTTAAATGTAAGACCTGAAACTGATAGCTAGGAAAAAAAGGAAACACTGATCTTGGCAATGACTTCATGATATGACACCAAAAGCAGAGACAACAGAAGCACGAATAGACAAGTGAGATGACATCAAACTAAGAAACTTATGCACAGCAATGAAATCCATTGATAGAGTAAAAAGACAACTTAAAGAAAGGGAGAAAATATTTGCAAACCATAGATCTGGTAAGGAATTAATTTCCAAAGTGTATAAGGAACTCCTATAACTCAACAGCAGAAGAACTAATAACATAAATAAAAACTGGGCAAAGGATTTATTTTTTTTGAAGATTTTATTTATTTATTTGACAGAGAGAGACACAGCGAGAGAGGGAACACAAGCAGGGGGAGTGGGAGAGGGAGAAGCAGACTTCCTGCTGAGCAGGGAGCCCGATGTGGGGCTCGATTCCAGGACCCTGGGATCATGACCTGAGCTGAAGTCAGACGCTTAACGACTGAGTCACCCAGGCGCCCTTGGGCAAAGGATTTAAATAGACATTTCTCCAAAGGAAAGCATACAAATGACCAACAGGTATATAAAAAGACACTCAATGTTACTAATCATCAAGGAAATGCAAATCAAAACCACAATCAGATATTGCCTCACATATGTTAGGATAGCTATTATCGAAGAACAAAAACAAAGACAAGTGTTTTGGCAAGTATGTGGAAAAAGTGGAACCCTGTACACTGTTGGTGGGAATGTTAAATGGTGCAGCCTCTATGGAAATTCTTCCAAAAATTAAAAATAGAACTGCCATATGACCCAGCAATCCCACATCTGGGTATTTATCCAAAAGAATTTAAATCAAGTTCTCGAAGAGATAGTAGCACTCCCATGTTCATTGTGACACTCTTCACAAGAGTCAAGATGTGGAAACAACTTAAATGTCCACTGAACAGATGAATAGATAAAAGAAATGTGGTATTGTATACAATGGAATATTATTCATCTTAAGAAAGAAGGAAATCCTGGCCTTTGTGACAACATGGATGAACCTTGAGGACATTTTGCTAAGTGAAATAAGGCTGTCATGGAAGGCCAAATACTTCATGATTCCACTCATGTAAGGTATCTAAAATAATAAAAATTCATAGAAACAAAGAATATAATGGTAGTTGCTAGGGACCGGGGGGGAGAGTGATAGGGGGAGTTGCTAATCAATGGCTGCAAAGTTTCAGTTCTGCAAGATGAATAAAGCCTAGAGATCTGTTGTACAATATTGTGCGTGTAGATAACAATATTGTGCTGTAGACTTAAAAATCTGGTAAGAGGGTAGATCTCATATTGTGTACTTATCACATGAAGTAAAATTTAGGAGAACAAAAACAAACTCAATAGAAACTGCAAGTAGATGACTAAAGCCAGGTTTGTTTTAGGAAAATTAGAATGGAAGGAAGAAAGGAGCTGAACTGAAACAGACAAAGTGGAATGGAGGTAGGCAAAGTATGGGCTGAGCCAGAGGTAGGAAAAAAACAGAGCTGGTAAGGAGAGAAACTGAGGGGTTAGCCCAGGTAGTGGTTTCCAGTTAGAAGACAGGATGGCCCAGAATATCCAACAGGTTCAGCCAGGGGTCAGCAGAGTTGTGTTGACCTCTCCCCACCTGGCCTGCCATCTTAAAGGGCTTCCTGCTACATGAAGCCAGTGGCCTGCTGAACTTCTAAGGGACTGAAGTATGACCGCTGCAGATAATGTTATCTGCAGGTAAAATTTTAACTGGCAGAGGTTAAAATGGACCTTGTCTCTTGCCCTCCCAGTTTGTACTTCATACTTCCATCTCTGCCTGATCTATTTGGGGACATAAGTTAAAGACCAAAAGTCATAGTGGAACTGAGTAAGCCACAGTACTCTGAACAACTTCCAGAAAAAGTTCGGGGTGGAACAGCAGCCCTGGTACCAATTTCTCTCCCCAGTGTTTTGACAGATTTTGGTGAGCCGAACTTACCTCCTTTTGTCACTAGATGGCGCTAGCACAAACCCTTGACCACCCTTCATTTTCAAGGCGCTGGAATCACCTTGCTTTTGTAAACCCTTTTTGTTTGCTTTTTTAAACACTATATATTATTGCCAGTAAGGTGTTCGATTTCATTAAGGACATGGGCATGTTTTTGAGTTTTTGAAACACTGTTCACCAGAAAGATAAAGTCACCAGGTCTAGATGGGGAATGGCAGGCTCCTCCTCATCCTGGGATCCTTGAGAAGCAAAGATAGAGGTGGGTCTGGTAATGTTACTGGGGACCTAAAATACCTCAGAGATGATCCCATAAAGAGGCATTTTAGTTTGATCCACTCTGGTGACTTTTTGAACCTGTGTCCAGTTTTCATTTTTGATTGGCCCAGATGACCTGACAATACTCAGCTCCTGGGCTTGGGGCCTGAGTCACCCCAACACCTCAAATAGCTATAGCAGCACCTAGGAGCATGCTCTACACTGCAGTTGGCCAGGTTTTGTGGAGCCTGATGCTTATACAATTGTGGGGGTGGATGTGCTTGGTGGGTGGGGGATGGCCTAGATGAGGGATGGGGATTAAGGAGGGCCCCACTGGGTGTCTTATGTAAGTGATGAGTCAGAAACCACTATTGAATGGTATGTAAACTAACTAGAATTTAAATTAAAAAATTTTTTTAAAGATTACAAATACAGAGACATGTAAAACAATATTTATTTACAATGAGAAAATAAATCACAACAAATTGCACATTTTTATTTTTTTAAAGATTTTATTTATTTGAGAGAGAGAGCATGAGCAGGGAGAAGGGCAGAAGGAGAGGCAGACTCCCCGCTGAGCAGGGAGCCTGATGCAGGGCTAGATCCCAGGACCCCCAGATCATGACCTGAGCCAAAGTCAGACACTTAACCAGCTGAGCCACCCAGGTGCCCCCAAATTACACATTTTTAAAAGCTCTGGAATTTTAGCTCATAGATGAAAGAAACTTGATCAAATTTTTCCCCAATTTGATGACAAACTAAATTTACATGACATTGCCAATAACAAATTGTGAGCCTGAAAGAGACTTTTCTAAATGATCAAATAATAAAAGGCAAATTTGGGTGTGTCTGGGTGGTGTAGCTGGTTAAGCATCCAGCTCTTGGTTTTGGCTCCAGTTATGGGATTGAGCCCTGCGTCGGGCTCCACACTCAGCGCAAAGTCGGCTTGGGTTTCTCTCTCCCTTTCCCTCTGCTCCTCCCCCCAAATAAACAAATCTTAAAAAAAAATAAAGGGCGGGGCACCTGGGTGGCTCAGTCGTTAAGTGCCTGCCTTCGGCTCGGGTCGTGATCCCACAGTCCTGGGATCGAGCCCCGCATTGGGCTCCCTGCTCCGCGGGAAGCCTGCTTCTCTCTCTCCCACTCCCCCTGCTTGTGTTCCCTCTCTCTGTGTCAAATAAATAAATAAAATATTAAAAAAAAATAAAATAAAGGGCAAATTTAATCTGCCATGCTAAGACAATATTGAATTATCTTTTTTGTCCTCTCTAAAAAATGGTATTATTAAATCATTGTCATATGAAGAAACAACCAAAGAGTATGTAGCCAAAAATGTAAGAAAAAAGTAATATTCAAGTGTGACTGGCATTTAATTCATCAAATTATTATGGGAGTTTTTTGTGATATTTGTGGTATTTGTCAGCTTTTAAAATTTATCCTGTGCAAAGACTAATCTTAGATATACTCTTCAAATTGATTACGTTTACTAGCCAATTTGCTTTTGAAAACCTCATTATAATTGGTGTATGAGTTTTTTATTATCTCCTTTGATCCTGATAATTTGTGTCATCAAAAAATATAAAGATAGGAACTCTTAGAAATTGTATTTCGAACAGCTCCCATCAAAAAAGAAGAGAATATATGGTACATTTATAATGATATACTGTTTTATTGAGTATATTGCCAACAGGACAAAACTTACTTTGACTAGATGTCAATATGGACAGAATCCTCTGCTTATATTTTTGCACAG